CACATAGTAAAATCTATAGTGTAACATTATTCTTTGTATGTTTGATGTTTTCCATCAAATCTATACGTTGCTTCGTTATAGTGCATTTAAGATTGATTTGTAGTTTTCTCGTCATTCATTATTCCACAAGATCATGTACTATATAAACTTGTCTTTAATAGAAAATTTAATCATTCATGTGATTGTAACATTTAGCCACATCAAAATGTTGTTCGACTTCATAATATTGAACTAATTTTATCATGAGTTTTCCTAGTGGAAACTATCATGTCGATTCTTTAATCTCTTATTGCATTTGTTCAATAAATGCATGCAAAACGGACGTTAGCAAATGTTATTGACAGCAGTGTTGCAATCAGCAACGGTAAATGGCCGCTTCGATTGGTATAGATTTTTTCAAAAATTGATTAATTTTTTTTTTGTTCGTATATCAAACCAGTTTAAATGATATCAATGACTATCTCTATTAAGTGAATATTCATCAAAATATGTCTAATATATTTTATCAAGATATATAATATTTCTTTCGTACAGACAACAGAAATAAGAAATTAAAGACAGATAGTATATCTACAATTGATTCAGAATTTCTATGTTTGACGAAAATTTATAAAAATAAATAGTAAAGAAAAAACTTTTAACACTATTCCTACAGAATTCAAATATTATATTTTAACTATTGTGAGGAACTCAAAGAGAAGAAGCAAAAACTCCATACTTCAGCATACTCCAAGAGTATGTCAAAGCTATTCTCTGGAGTTTCTTAGTACTAAAGTCCAAATGCTTCATTGTACTTCGCTAATACTCAAATCTTGAAGTACGATAAAATATTTCGACTTCAATGTCAGATAGATTTTTGTAAAATCAATTCAAACTAATATGTTCGTAACACAAGTTGATACTAGGCTTGATATAAAGGATAGTTGTTGATCCTGTAACAGCATAGACAAAAATATCTAACTCATTCTTAGCAGCAGAATCGTAAAGAATAGTTTCGTTCGAAAATTGAATTTCTGCTTTCAATAATTCATTTTCTTTAGTATTACTCTCAGATATTTTATATCTACCAACCAAAAACGACAATGATACAAAATCTGTACTACATTTTATTGCTTCATTTTTGTAACGATTCTAAAAAAATTGATACTACATTCAAATTGAATTTTTAAGCTTTTATATTGTATTCCTTCAAAAACATCACAGATTTGTAGTAACATTATCAAATAATTGATCTGAATAGCGTAAAATTTTGAAAAATTTTCCCAGAACCGAATGATACTTTCAGTCGGTTTAGCTGAAAGTCAATAATTAGAATGTGAGTATTTTCTGAAAGGATAACCTATATCCATACCGAAAATGTAATTATGATGGCATAAAACGAAGCGATCAAAGAAAATTTTAAAATAAAATCTAAGGAATATAACCCTTCACTCTCTGCTCTTGAGAATTGTCTACGTAGCATCCCTTCGTTTCTACCTTGCCTCTAATTTAATGGAAGTACAAGTCTACCTGAGAATCAAAATTCTTGAAAAGTTTTCTAGAGAGTTCCAAGGATTTTTTGAGAAAATCGCTGCCTCATTCGCTTGATTAGATGTATTTTCAATATCAATTTAGCCATATTGTAGTCCAATGTCTAAACTCCGAAATTTTTAGATGTTTCCGACCTTTTCTTAAAAAATGATGACTATTTTACTGAATTTCGATTTGAAAATTTACCGATAGGATATCCTAAACATTTTAGTCAAAAAAAAGATGTTCTGTCCTCGAGATATTGAATTTTCAATTTTACTTAAAAATACACTTAATCAAACGAATGAGACAGTGATTTTCAAAAAAAATCCCTAGAACTCTCTTTGATCCTCAGGTAGACTTGTACCCCCACTCATGCTCTTTCTAACGATGAAAACTCGAGTTCGATATCTACCAGCATTGCCGAATAATTGTTTAATGAACAATTAGAAATCTACAAATGGAAATCATGGATATAGTAACGAAATTTATTTAATTTTATTCTTGATATTAAAGAGAGAGCACAAATAAAGTAAAGAAGGAAAGGTTTTTTGTTTTTTTTGACTCGAAAAACTTTATTGTTATTTGTTTTGTCTTTTTACTTGAGTGTAATGATATAATCACGACACACTAAAAATCCAAAAATATTTATCGATCCGTAAAATACCATTTTATTAATTTTGACTACTAACTTACATGATAAATTTAACAACAAGAAAAAAAAGCATTGATAATTTTATATGTACTTTTAGATTATTTACTTTTTTTATGTTTAGAAAATTGAACATAAATTTTTTTGCTTTTATTAATTCATATCTTATGTCATCTCATATTAAAAATAATACTGATATTCAATTATTAGCTACATATGGTACTTTGAGAGATGACGATAATTCAGGTGCATTATGGACGAAAAATTTTATTAAAGTATCTTGTTTTTTTTTTCTGTTTTTAATTCATTTCGTTTTGAAAATGAATAATTTTATCGAATTTTTACAGGGTATAAGTCATGCTACTACTGGTAGAATTGTTGGTTATCAACTTCTCGGTCATCCTATAATCACATATCCATTTGCAATTTATACAGGTGTTGTTAAATAGAATAAAATAAAAAAAAGTAATCTTGTTTTTTTTTTTTGATTTATTTGATAATAATAATAGGTAATCCAAATGATTCAATTGTTGTTCGTCTTCTAAGTTGGCCATCAAAAGAACAATTTGAAGAAAAAATTGAACAAGCAGATATAATTGAAGGTGATGATTATGAACGTAAAATAGTTGAAGCAATTGTTGAAAATGAAACTAAACTTGCTTATATTTATATATTGAAATCAGAAATATCATTAGAAAAAGATTGGAAAGTTATTCCAAGTGGTGATTGGCTTAAACGACATTTAAAATAAATTAAATTAATTTTTGTATTGTTGTTTTAAAGATTCAATTCTTTTTAAAATTCTTGTTTAAAACAATTGTTAATAAAGCTTTACTTTTTATCAAATTTATCCTCTTCTTGTTGACTATTCTTTTGCTTTCTGTATATTTGTATCAGAGATATTGACGGTTGGATGCATTTTAATTAAACTCGTGAATGAGTTACAGACTCATGGATCGAATTTATTCCGAGGTCAAATAATTGGATACAGCATGACCAAATACAAGCATGATACCGTCAATTTGCAATTGAAAACTGTATGAAGCGACAATATACAGTATCGTTTTTAGCTGTCTTGATGACTGTAATCATCATCCTGAATCATTTTACATATATACGTTTGCTATGCATTCTATTCGTTTGACTGACTACTGATTTTGTTGTTTTTTTATCACTTCTTTATGTGTATACGTATGTATGCGTGTTTCTCTTTAAAAGAAGTGGCGCTTATACCTTCCGCAGGTTAGTTTTCTCACAAATATTTTTTGGTTGTGGGTAGTATGAAGATGCAAAATCACCCAACTAGACCTGGGACATTTTTAATCTTAGCAAAAAGAATCAATATTTTAGAGAATGGTCATTTATATAGTAAAGTACAAGAAAATAGGGAGTATTTTAAGGTTTCTGTAGTGGAAAGTTGGTGTTTATGTAAAATAAGTATGATATTCAGAATCAGCGTGAAAAATTACACTAGATAGTTTATCTTTCATTGTAAAATATTTTCCATGAAAATTCGACCCGTAGGGGATCAGGAGAAAAAATCTCATGGATAAAAGGTTGAGGGGGAGTAGGGGGTCAGATTTCCATGGAAAATATTTTGCAATGACAAATAGACTATCTAGTGTAAATTTTCATGCTGATTCTGAATATCATACTCATTTTACATAAAAACCAACTTTCGACTACAGAAATCTCTAAATACTCTCTATTTTCTAATACTTTACTATATAAATGACCGTTCTCTAAAACATTGTTTTTTTTTTACTAAGACTAAAAATGTCCCAGGTTCGATTGGATGATTTTACGTCTTCATACTACCTACAACCAAAAAATATTGAAACGAAAAGAGACCTTGGGTATGGGGGGATATAGCCTATGAAAAAAGCGCCATTTCCTTTAATGTTAGAAATAGTAGATTAGATCGATGTTTTTCCTTCTTGTGTGCTTTCTTTTAGTTAATTGTGTGATAAAAATTCCGTATGTATCGATCTTCATTTCAATTTTTAGGTAATCCCATAACAATTTATGTCGTCAAAATTCACGTTTCAAAAATTTGTATTAATCTGCGCGTCATAAGCTTGAGGTGAGCTAGGTGCCAAAAAAATAATCTATTATCAATATCTCTGGTTTCATATATAGTCTGTCTCGATATTCTATTAACATAACTTGATTGATTACGAGGTATTTATTTTCATTATTTTTTGACTATTATTCATGCTTTGATTCTTGTTGTATTGTCGCTCATGTTACTAAATAGGAAATCGCTCAAAGTGATTTGTCGTTTGTGGCTTCATGCTTTACTTGTGTGTAGACGAGCTGTGGATTAGAAAAAGCCTAAGAGAATATGCGTCTATGTTGAGATTTAGGTTAAATTTTGTATCCAAGCTAGATTATTTGAAGTCTTGATATTTGCAAATTTTCAAGTCAAATTTTTACTGAAAAATTCTAGTAAAACGAGCTAAATCGTAATATGTATCCATATCTTCTTAGGTTTTTTTAAAAATAGTCTGAAGTTCTCCTCCTTATGAACAAAGACAAATGTTTTTGTATTAATTCAATATACATTTTAAACTTTATGATTTAGTAGACAAAAAAAAAACGAAATTTTTTTTTAATGATGAACATGTAAAACATTAATTGCTCAATAATTGTCATTTACTTCCAATTATTTCTACTGACTACATATATATATATAATAAAAAAGCAAAAAATCAACTGATGAATATCATGTTACGGATGAGTTATTCTGTCGTTGCTCATTTTTTTTTTCGTTTGTTCACATTTTTGTTTTATATATTTTTTTCAATAGACAAATAAAATTAACATCACATTGATTCCAATGTTACCTCTATATAATATTCATCCAATGTCTATGCCAATACATCCACAAATAATAGGAATTTCATCTGCTATAACACCTATGATGTCAATTCCAGTTACTCCTAATTTATGTTCATCTAACAATATCAATGCATATACATCAACAGAAATATCTAATAAATATGATTCACATATGTATGATCGATGTCAAAATACTAGACGAGATCAAACTCATCATTGTCATGTACCTTTTGATTGGTATGAACTACCAAAACAAGGATATAATATTATTTATGAAGATGTAGCAGTTATTACATTCGATAGACCTGTACCTATGAATGATTTTAATCGTTATTATATTCATCGTAAAAATAGAAAATATTATGATCATAATAATGATTCAATATTGGATGAATCAGAAGATTATGATGATAGACAAGAACTATCATATGTTAATCGTCGACGTTACATTCGAACAGAATCAAATTTTGATGATGAAGAAGAAGAAGAAAATACAAGTTCACTATTGAATCACCAATCGACAAGAACAAATAATTATATAACACTTAAACCTAATCGTCAAAAAACAACAACAACCTCACCATCATCAAACTATCAAGAAAATCAATCACATATAGATGATGATTTTAGTGATACAAATTCAATAAACAGTGCATATAATAATTAAAAGAATATTATAAAGAATTTTTTATTTTATCATTTTATTAATTCTTTTCCTTTTCTTTTTTTCTATATACAATAAAAGCAAAAAATAATCTTAAAATACAAAAAAAAAAAAAAAAAAACAAACAAATTAATTTTCATAAACGAATTCGTTCAGTATTAAATGTAGGTAATGATAATCGTAAAACACGTTGTTTATTACAAGTCATATCAATACTAGTTTTATATTTATTCGGTGATCGATAGATTGTTTCTAAATTTTTTGATGTTTTATTTAATGATGGTCGAGATATATTTGCACATACAACAATATGTGCTACTGCTGGAGATTTATATGTTCTACGTGAACAATGTCTATTATTTTGACTATATTGACGATGACGATGATAATGATGATGATGATGATGATGATGACGTCGTTGACAATGAACAATTCGTTTCATTGTACGTATACATGCGTCACGATATTTATGAGAAAATAAATGATAAAAAATTGGATTTATTGTTGAACCAAGATAATAGAAAATACCACTAATGAAATAAAATATTTTTACAGCACGTCGTTGATTTAATGATAAATGATCAAAATTTGAACTACTTGTTATTAGACGTTGTACATGAAATGGAGCATAACATATTATAAAAGCAATGACAACAGCAACTAAATATAGAGAATAACTTATTATAATATTTTATTTGAACAATGTATTTCCGCATTATTTTTTTTGAGAAAATTATACAATGAGTATGTCATATTAACGTACGTTTTGTATTCAAAATAAGACGGATGAGATAAAAATTGTGCATTAATTCTGTTGATGATGATGATGTCGTATTGTAATATAATACCGAAGAGATTTGATCCTTTTATTTTGTTAGAAAAAATGCAAAATGTCTAGTGCCAAAAATATATCAAAGAATCTGATGCCAATGTCAGGAAAAACAAAAATCTTAGAACAAAAGATATTAGGAAATTCTTTGAGGACACATTGTTTTTCTTTTAGCAAAAAAAACTGTGATAGAATATGAAATTATTAGAAGATTTATATTCTTTTTATATGAAAAAGAAACCTTATCGAGGGTTCTACTTAAACAATAATATTTTGACATATAAAACTTTGTTTTTGAATAGTAAACGTCAAATTATTTTTTTTCAATTGAACTATTTATTATTCAATCTTTTGTAATCTAGATCATTTATTTTCATATCATAGGAAAGCCATTGTTATAATGAACAATTATATGTACATATGATGTTAGGAAATATCGGAAGTTGATGATGACAAAAAAATCAAATAAATATATATTTGAATATAAAGATAGTTACCAAAGTACCTAAAAAAATGTTTTAACATCTTTTGTTCTACGATTTTTATATCCATTAAGAAATACTTCCGATCAAAATTCTTTTGTATATATATTTTTTTTCTAAATTAGACATGTTGCTTTTTCTAGCATAGAAAAAAAAAAGGCATCAAGTCTCTACTATGTTGCATTTCAACATAACATTAGCAACATAATTAGTGCAGAACTTTTGTCATATTCATCATACTATTCTGGAAAGTCAGAAAATGATTCATAGTTCTCATCTTATTATTTTATCGAAGAAAAAGAATCAAAAGTAACTAAAAAAAAACAAAAAAAATTCCATCTAGATTATTTGTAAGATCTATTGAATAAGAATTGTTATGATCTGTAATATGATTCGTATTGAAATAGCAAGAAAATAACATAGATACTTAATAAAGATGAATGAATCATTTTTCAACTCATTGAAAATCATAACAGAAATTGTATCCTGAAGAAACAAAAAAGTTCTTCTCGATATCTCGTTAATAAATTAATGAAGCATCATGTAGTGATATGTTATAAGGTCTGAGTTCTATTCATAAGAAATTTGATATAAAATTGGTTGTTTTTTTTTTTTTTTTTCATAATGACGTTCGTTACTCATCTTAATGAAATATATATTCATGAGAAAAAAATATTATCTCTTGCTTGATGTGAAGATATTATCTTTTTTCTCTGAAGAATTATAATCTTCCTACAAATCTCTCTTGAATATTAAAATTTTAAAAAATAAAAAAAAATTAGTAATTTAATAATTCGAACAACAGGAAGTAATGTGTATGTCCGATGAATATTATATGTAAGGAAAAATAGGTGATGATTGATTTAAAAAAAAATTCAAATTGGGAAAATAAAAATAAAAAAATAGTCTTTTTTAATGAAATTTTTCACTTTAGTTTTTTTTTAATTATTTATGATTTTAGGTATAAGATGAAAACAAAAATTTGAAGGGAGACGAAAATGTCAAAACCACAATGTAGATTAATTTTAATAGTCACCACGAATCATCTCGTATTTACATTGATATATGCATTGCAAAAAAAAACTAGAAAACAATAATAATAACAAAAATCTAAAAAAGTTTCTATATCTATTGACGACTTTCCATATGTCATCTTATCAAGGAAAAAATCATGACATAAAGTAATAAAAGTACAATGATTCTGCACAAATGATAAAAGAAACAGACAGTACTATTGAAGTAAATTAACAGACATAGAGTCATAGAAGTTATTGCACTTAAAATGTCAAAATTAATTATGTCATAGATATTTTTAAGTATACTAAATAATTATATTCATTAATTTTCTTTGACAAGAAATTCAATCATAAATTTTCTAAAGTACCAAAAACAAAATTTATTCAAATAATTCTATTCTATAGGAAAATATTTAATTAATTTAGTTTAATAATATATATATATATAATAAATAGAATAATCTTTTACTTACAAAGCATTTTAAATGCTGATTTTTTCATTGATGGAATATTTAATGTTTGTCCAGTTGAAAAACTATTATTATGTCGTGTATTAGATGGATCTTTTTTCGTTAGAGAACGTGTTGATGAATTAGAAGATTTTTTTAATTTTTCTTCTAAATCATTATTATCATTTTCAATAGGTTTTAAACGTCCTGGTGTTGAAAATGATTCATTTCCACTAGTTTTTGACCAACGTACATCATTAAGTAAACGAGCAGAATATAAACGTTGTGCCATTAATGCATATAATATACAAAGAATAAAAGCAGGTAATACAAAAAAAATTGTTGCTGATATATGAAAACATATTTTAATTAATAATTGAAAATCTTCATTAAATGAACAAACATTATCGATTTTTATTGTTATATATAAATAAGGTGTCGAAGATAATATTGCAATAAACCATATTAAAATTTGAATTTTAATAGCACGTCGTGTTGTTGATAAAAATGATGTATGAAGTGGTCGACATACAGCTAAATAACGTTCAATTGTAAATGCACTTCATAAAAACAAAACAAAAAAATAAAATTATTGCTATTCAATTTATTTTTCATATTCAATTACCTAATAGTTAAAATTGATGCATTTGTCGAAGTTTCAGCAAGAAGACCTCGAAGTTTACAACCAAGTTGTCCCCATGGTAATGTAATTGGTAAAAACTATGATGAAAAAGAACAAAATGAAATTAAAATAATTTTAATACAAAAAAATTTTACCGCAATTTCGAATGGTAAACTAACAATTAATGGTAAACTATCACTGATAGCTAAATTTAATAAATAACAATTCGTAACTGTACGCATATCTCGATTTAATAAAATAATTAAGATAGTTAATAAATTATTAGCTATACCAGCACAAAAAATTGGAATATAAATACATCCTTGTATGATGTCAAGTTTATGAGAAAAATCTCTATCATCATCAGATGAAAATAATAAAGAATTATTGCTTTGATTGATAATACTCATTCTTTATTATTATTTATTATTATTATTATTATTATTGTATAAAAAATATGTTTGTAATTTGAGCATTAAGGACGACGTTCTTATCTAATTAACAATAATATTTCAATATTCTCTTTAATAACATTTTTTCATAACCTAGAAAAGAAAACATAGAGAAAATGAGAAGAGAGAGAGAGAAAAAGAAAAAAAGGAATGCAATAACCAATGCAAGAAAACTCAATCAATGCATAAAACAAAAAGAAAAAACTACGCTATTCGACAATATACATTTTACGAAGCATTTCATGTTACTTTTTGTTATTTGATCACCTGTAAACTGAGATAAATTTGAAAGAAAAAAAAAACCAGAATCAATTCTTTATTAACTGTATTTGCGTCGAATGAATACATGCCTTTTGTTTTTTCTAAATATATTTTATATAAAAAATCTGTTTTAATTAATATTTAAGAAAAAAATATACGAATAAAATTTTATAGATAAAAAACTTTTGAATTTAATCATTTGCAAATAATATCTATAAACAAAAAAAATTCTCTAAGCTGTACACTACTTAATGATAAATATATCGAATTTTTTTTCTCTCTCTCTCATATGTTATTAGGAAAAAGGATATTTCCTATGAGATTTTCTTCTAGACAACTATTAATAGTTATAGACAGATAAATTGACTATGTGTTTATTGGCATCATGTCCGTAACAAAAAAAAAAATGTGCATAGAGTTTATATTAGATCAAGTTCGACTTTTGTCTTACTTATTACAAGAAACATATATATGTTAAAACATTAATAAAATTAATTTATTTGATTGAGAATTCTTTAGACTTTTATAAAACCAAAATATTTTGATTAATGACAAATATTTTATAGAAAGTATCTTGAATAATTTAGATGACATATGAGATTTCATGCATGACAAATGAAGTTTGTTTTTGCTTTTCATAATATGACAAATATTATTATCACATGAATGAGATTATAAGAATTTAGATGTGACATATTAATTAAAAGAAAAAAAAACCTAAACATTGAAATATGTCTGGAAATAAATTATACTTTTTAAATTTACAAGAATTACAATTGTAATTCATCCAAATATGAAGAGAAAAAAAAAACACAACGAATCTTACTAAGGATAGTTTGATGATTAGCATGATGGTCTTTTGAGAATACTAGTGTTTATATTATGACTGATG